CCTCCTGCACCGCCCTCTGGACGGGTCCTAAGTTGGATCCGGTTCTTATCGCAGCCACTGTGTCCGTCCCTCCCATCCAGGGCCTTCCTCGCGGTCACTGCCCCTCTCATTTCCCAAGCAGGAGGTCCTTCCCCAGGACGGGTCTTTCCAAAGTCGGTGAGACCACGTCTCCCCGTCCTTGCCCCTGAGGAGCAAGTGCTCTGGCCGACCTGTGTGTGGGGCTCTCGATATGCCTCACCAGCACCACCGACCAGACACATTGATCCTTCTCCATTCTTCCTTGTTCACTGATCGACTTCCAGCTCTGCGGTCACCTGAGCATTCCTGGGCACAGGGCAAGGGCATGTGTGGGGTCCCCATCTTGGTCCCTAGCCCAGGGAGAGGGAAGGCAGCCCCCTCCCCATAGCACTTGTATCCCAGCTGGTAAAGATGTCCTCGAAGGGGTGGGAGGGGCCTTGGAGGGGAGGAACTGGCCCCCCAGTGGCTGGTCAGGCAAGACTGGAGGGGGCCAGCGAGGGCCCTGAGTCATGTCTGGGAGGTGGGGCTCTGAGCGGGGAGCAGGGGGGTGACAGCTAGGAGCAAGCCTACTGTGGGGCTGCTCTCCTTGGCACCGTCCTCTGGGTCAAAGCCAGGGGCCAGCACCCAGAGCTGGCTCAGGGGCCGGGCAGCCACAGCCTAGGGACCAGCTTGAGCTATGCTGCAAAATTGCTGGAGAGAGGGGGATGGGCAGCCATGGTGGCCAGGTCCCTGATGGACACCACAGAGAGGCAACGGTCGTGGGACCAGCAACATACCCCTCATAAACCCCAGTGTCTGAGCTTTGTGGGCCCCTGGGGGCAGTCACAGGCCAGGATGTGTTTGATGGGTCTGTTACGGCAGGTGGGCCGTCTGCGGGCAGGTGGGCTCTGCCTCCACGCCCAGCTAGCTGCCTGACTTCTCATACCTGATCAGAGCCCCGTGCATGGTCTTTGGCCCGATGAATCCACCCTGTGTCTCAGGATGGGTCACTGGCCCTGGGAGGGGAAGGCGGGTGCAGGAGAACAGAGAAAGGGTCTCTGTCACCCCGGGCCACTGGTCAGGACCCTATTCTCTCACCGTCGAGGGTGCTAGCATTCTGAGTCCGGGGAGGCCAGCTCGAGGGGCAGGCTTTCTGTGTGTGTCTGCCCTGGGGGAAGGTCCTGTGTCCTCTCCACATCTGGGGGGCCAGCATTCCTTGGTGACCTCCCTGCATCCTGGCATCTGTCTTCCCGAGTCCAGGGGGTCCCCAGTGCAGGGACCCGGGTTCCTCGCCCAGCGCAGCTATCCTGGTGGTGGGAGGTCCCTCTGATCTCACCACCGCCCTCTGCTCCCACCTCGGATCCCTGCTGGTGCAGTGGTCACGAGCTGGGCTGCGAGCTGTAAGGTCGGCAGTTCAAAACTACAGCTGCTCCACAGGAGAGAGAGAGGGCTTTCTACTCCTGTAAACAGAAACTCGGAAACCCACCGGGCAGTTGGACCCTGTCCCGTGGGGTCACTGTGGATTGGCATCAACTCCTTGGCAGTGAATTCATCCTGCCTCAGTCACCCCACAGAGGTGGGGACTCGGGACCCAGAGGCCAGGACATCAGATCACCGTGTGGAGAGTGACCACATTGTCCTGAGAACCTGGACCTGACACCACTGACCCGTGTTTGGGGGAGACAATCCGAGCCATCGGCAGCCCCTCTCCCACTGCTGGTCTCTCATGATGGCGTGACCCCAGTGGTTGTCGGTTCTCTGGGGGGTCTGCAGGATGCCCCTGGGAGAGACAGGTCGGTGTGGAGTGGGGCTGGAGGCCGTGCTGAGGTGTGCAGGGCTGATGAGAGGCCTGTCCGTGGGGCAGAGACACGTGTGTGGAGGGGGGAGCCAGTGGGATCTACCGGTGAAGCGCTCACTCGAGCCTGGGGGCGGTCTCTAATGGGTATCCCCTCCGGTCCCCAGACGAGGAAGGGCTATCAGAAGACAGTGCTGGAGATCGACACCCCCAAAGTTGAGCAGCTGCCCGTGGTGGACATCATGTTCAATGACTTCGGCGAAGTGGCACAGAAGTTTGGCTTTGAAGTGGGGCCGGCCTGCTTCATGGGCTAGGGACCACTGGTGTTGACCAGCCCCTCACCATCTCGGTCCATTGGCTGCTCGCCGGCGTCCCGCCGACCTCCACTCCGTGCTGGACCCCAGACCCAGAGAGCCAAAGGGGAGAGCCTTGCCCCCGGGAGCGGATCACATGACCTAGACACCACCACCTCGGGCGCCCTGGGCCCCTCAAGTGCCTCCTTCCCCAGCCCCCTCCCTGCTCCACAGAGACCGATGCACAGCCGGAGGGGCGGGGGTGGGTCTGGGCCTCATTGGTCAAATCCAACTGGAAGAGGTATAGATGCCCGTGACCCCACCACCACCCTGTGCCCAGGCCAGCCTGGTAAAGGCCCTCCACCCGCCACGGCCAGAGTCCCCACCCACCTGAGACCTTGCCCACCCCACCCTGTGCCTCCCTTCCCCATGGATCAAGGTGCTGACAGTGCTGGGTGTTAAGTAAATATTTGTATTGTGTTGTTATAAATGTGCATGTCCCTGCCTTTCAATCAGCCTGAAAGCCTGACCACCCCAGCCCTGGTCCCAGGAACATCTGGAACGGGGGGGTCTGGACCTCAATTCTAAGGAGCGGTGGGGAGGGTCTCAGCCCTCCATGGCCAAGGACTTGTGGTCAGTGGCCTTGGGGCCCCGGGCAGGGGGCACAGGGCGGTCACTTACCAAGCAGGAAATGCCACCCCCTGGCCGAGTTTGGATTTGCTCGGAATGTTCGGTGTTTTTATGTCTAGTGGAAGCTGCAGGGAGAGACCATGTCGTATGCTTCCTAACCTGGGAGCACTTGGGCGAGGACGGGTGGGGCTGCCCCAGGCCGCCTCCTGCTGGCTGTCCTCTGTGGGCAAAGCCTGCGGGGAGGCCGTGCAGGGCAGGACAGCCGCCTGCTTCCGGAGAATAATTGGTGCTGAGTTTTACACTTTGTCTTTGTGGTGCTATCTGTTTCAAGACCCCCTTGAAGGCCACACTGGGGGGACCGGGCCGCCCCTCACTTCCCCAGATGTCTCTCCCTACACGGCTTTCGCCTCCCCGATCTGAGTTTTGGCCAAGGACCTTGGGTGCTCAGGCTCCAAGCTGGGAGCCCGCCGGGCTGTGCTGGCCGGATCTGAGCGCGCGCACAAGCTCTGGAACACGGAGTCGCTTCCTGCCCCTGCGTGCGGCAGCACCAAACCATATTCCAGCCGGCAGCGGCGGGATGTTTCTGGTGCTAATTGCTGCTGCGTTCCCTCCCTGAACTGAAGCCAGCCCATCCAGCTGCCACGGGCCGGCGCAGCCCTGGCAGCGGGCAGAGGGAGGCACAATGTACTCTGAGGTGGTGCTCGGTGGGACTGCTGGCTGAACCTCGTCCCCACGCCAGCAGCTGGGTGTCCACCTACAAGGGTTATGGCCACCGTGTCAGCAACTTTGGAGCTCGGTGCTGGGGCCGTGCCCTCTGGAGGCCACTCCTGCTCCTTTGCATCAAGGGGAGGGTGACCGTGCTGGGCAGGAGGACCCCAGGGCCAGCAGGGAAGGCGACCCCTACTGTGAAATGTCACCTTCCAGCAACGCCCAGATGAGGCAGTCTCCGCACAGCCACGGCACCGGTGCCCTCACGACCCATCAGCATGGTGCCTCACAGGATCCCGGCCACGGGGACTCGGAATAGCAAAACCACCCAAGCCCAGGCCAGCCCCAGCGTCCCTAGGACTTGAGGCTTGCTCTTCCAAAGAAAAGTCTGGCCTGGAGGCCCTCAGGACCCAGCGGGGCCAGTCTCTCTCCGCCTCTCCTCCATGGAAAAGCCATACAGGAAGGAGGCCCATCGATGCCCTGGTGGTGCCCCTGCCCCACCCCCCACCCCGTCTAGGTCATGTGATTCTGTGTGATTTCTCGTCCCGCCTGATTCGTCCATTCAGCCCACCACCATCTTCTCTGTTGGCCCCTCCAAAGTTGTGGTCTGTATCGAAGTTCGAAACGTGTCCCATTCTCCCCAAGCCACTTCAGCTACGGTGTATTGCAATAAAATTTCTTCTTATATTTGCAGAAATTCTTTTGGCTTAATTTTATTTCCCACCCTACCTCTTAATATAGACCTGTGTAACTGGACAAATGCCGAAAAGAAAGCAAACCACAGACAGTAAGCCAGCAGTCAAGCTTCTGGGCTATCGGGCCCTTTAAAATAGAACGTCCCGTGCTAAGTTGGCCATTCATTCCCTAAAACAAACACAAACAGATGTGCCATCGGCTCTAACTGTAACGCCTGGGGAAAGGGTGCTTTGAACAATTTAAAACCTGTGTACCAAAGGAATCATTGTACCAGTGTGCTCAATAAATCAAGTTTACTGTTTCCACCTGGAACAAATGTGATTGCGATGTCTTTACCCATACAACCTCTTTTATAGGGATCAGCACAGCTTGGTTCATATAAGGTGGAGGTTAAAGATGTCCCAAAGGTGCAACTTTTCCAGACTGCCGCCCATCGGCACTGACTGAAGGTCCATGTTCCCCTCCTGCCTGGGGCTTTTGGAAGCCCACGCAGCACCTCGTGGAGCCAGCACGCCGTCAGGAGAGTGGCGCCCGGTTGTGGGGGCTGGAGTCTGTGCAGGATCGAGAACAAGAGAGAGATGTTTGGTAGTATGTTCATCCATCCCAGGGGACTTCAAATGGTGTGTGAGAAAACGGAATGAAAAGAGAATGAACTTTTTACAACAAACTTTGTGTTTGACACAAACTCCCCTTACTTAAGCGTGGGGGTACAAGGGTATACCTTGAATAAGGGTGTGCAGGTGGTGGTGACGGGTTAGGCTGGTGACTTGAGCGGTGCCCTGCCGTAAGGCAGTCAGTCACTCAAGATGCATCCTGTCTTAATTCTTGTTGGCAGATCACTGCCTCCCAAATGGGGCATAACCCGGGCATGGAGGCCCACCAAAAACGGAGGCTAGCACCATCGAAACTGAAAATCACGGTCCGCCTAAGCTGATACATAACCTCAACCATTACAGGCTCCATACATGTCATTAGCAGCAAGCTGCCTGATCCCCTTGGTGGGCCACAAGTACCTTATTCGCGTCGCCTCGCCCTGTCAATGGAAGCCACAAACACTCTGACTGCATGGGCCTGTGTTAGGTTGGGTTGACTAGAGAGGTAAATGCAGGGACACTCATGTAGATGTGTAAGAGAGAGCTTCACATTCAGAAGTCATTATTTCCCAGCCCCAACCATATCAAGTCCCTAAGTCCAAGGCTAGTCCATAAGTCCCTCTGCAGACTCACGCAGCCACAGCAAGGATGCAGCATGCAGGAAGATCACAGGCTGGTGGGTGCAAGGTTATGTGAATCCAATGGTGGGCAGGGGTGCCTCTCCAGGGCTCTGGCAGCTCCCTGTGTGGCTCCTCAATAGGAAGGTGAAGGCAGAGATGTGGGGGGAGGTCCTCAGGACCCTTCTCATGAGAAGGTCACAACCGACCAGGAGACACCATCAGGCTGTGAGCTGATTGACAGCCTAGAGTCCACCCCTGCACTCTAGTTATCCAGTCCACGAAAGGATGAAACCACCACAGGGCCACGTTCAGTAGTTCACTGTACCTCAGTCTTCTGAGTGTGACCAAGCCTTTCCTGCATGAAAGCCAGGAGCGATACCATTTTTCCAAAACAAAAAACCCAACCTACCATCACGGAAACCACCCCGATTCCTCCTGGCCAGACCGAGTGGGACAAAGGAGAACTGCCTTATAGGGTTTCCGAGGTTGTCCGTCTCCCCAAATGGACCACCCACCCTCCTTCTGCGGAGAAGGTGCTGTCCGTGGGAGAAGCGAGTGGATTTCAACCCCAGGCTTTTAGGTTAGCAGCTGCTCATGAATCACTGCTCCACCTGCCTCCCTCCAGCCCACACTCCTCCCTGGGACCACCGAGTCCACTCTGGCTCACAGCGACCCCCAGGCAGGACAGAATCACCCCCATCAAGTTTCCAAGGATGGAAGCCGAAAGGCTAGAGTGTGCCTGATCCCTTGCCCCAGGTGCGCCCCAGGTGCACGGGGAGTTGGATGCTGAACGAGGAGCCGAAGCGCTAGAACAGTGGTTCTGGCAAGGTCTGGAAAGCGCCGTGGACTGCCAACAGAACAGAGAGATCTGTCTCGGGAAGGACAGCCAGCGTGTCCCTGAGAGTCGAGGGTGCTGAGCCTGTCGTGTGTACTCCGGACACGCTGTCAGGAGAGCCCGGTCCTTGCAGAAGAACGGCGTGCTCTGCAAAGCAGAGGGGCAGCGGAACGGAAGGAAGAAGGGCTGGTTCAGTGGGTGTAACAATGGGCTCAAACACAACGGTCATTGGGAGGACGGTCATTGGGAGGACGCTGGCACAAGACTGGGCTGGACTCTGTTCTGTTGTGCCCGGGGTCACACGCTAGAACCCACTGATGGCACCTAGCAAGAACATGCCTCTGTGGGAGCAGGGGGGGAATTGAAACCACTGACCTCTGGGTTAGCCACGGAGCCCTTAGCCCGCTTGGCTTCAGGGCTCCTTCAGGAACTACGGTGTGGCAATGGGCACAAGGAGAGGGCGGCAAGGACACTGGGTCATCCTCAGACAGGAGGAGGAAGAGGCCTGCCAGAGGACTCACAGCTGCTTCCTGTGGAAGATGCTAGACTGCATTCAGGCACCAGTGCCGGAACTTTCCAGGGTGAGTTTCATCAAGTCTCAAGTGTCAGGAGCTTGTGCCACTCTGTGCCCAGGGTCAGGTGTGTCCGGAAGTTCTCCAGTGCTGGGCTCTGAGTACTAGTTGGATTGGACTCCCAGGGCATTCCGGGCGGGATGAGG